GGGCTCTCGCTGTGCCCCTCCGAGCAGAGGAAATCCCAGCTGGATATTAGGAAAAGGTGTTTCCGCATGAGGATCAGAGTGGTGGGGGAATCCGGATCTTTGGAGATATTTAAGCTTGGACTGGACAAGGCCCTACGCAGCCTGCTCTAATTTGACTCAGTTTTGGGTGGAGGGTCGGACCGAGGCTTGCAGAGATCCGTTCCAGCCTCAATGATTCAATGATTTTGGCAAACCAGAAGTGTGTCCATATGCTTGATATTCTGCATCTGTACAGGGTGTCACATTAAACTCTGTACTTACAAAATGCCTCAACCAGACTCTTACTTCTGCGGCCGTCATTTAAGTAACTTTGCAGAATTTGGTGCTTGTCTGTTAATAAAACGGGCAGTAGAATATAAAGACCCCTAAACTTGGAAAAACTGCTTTTGAATAACTTCAGAAGCAGCAGCATGGGCGGGCTGCTGAAGCCAGCAATTTCAGCTGTGTCTGCAGTCTGTCAGTACACGAACCAGCACTTCTTATGACGAGTCAGTAACTTTTCCACCGCCAGTGTGATTTTGAGATTGAAAAATCCTCTGCTGGCTCACCTACGTGTAAGGTGGGGTTTGTACCAGTGTAGTTACGTCAGGCACAATAACGAGTATCTCTGTTCTGCTTGCTTCCTCCCCTTACGTGTATTTCTTTGTTCCAGTCAAATATTTTAGGATACCCTGCAGGCTCATAATGTAGTCAGGAAATATTGTTTGTGCGGGTATTTCATTTGCAGCAGTAACATAATAACTTAACCACCTTTGTTTCTGCGTCCCATGGAGGTTGTGGCCTCAGGTGGGAGTATGAGCGAGTTCCGCATTCACCACGATGTCAATGAGTTGCTCAGCCTGCTGCGTGTTCATGGCGGTGAAGGAGCCGAAGTCTACATCGATCTTCTGCAGAAGAATCGAACGCCTTACGTTACCACGACTGTCTCTGCGCACAGCGCGAAGGTAAGCGTCGACGTACTGTAATCACAGCTGAGATGTGTTTCAGACCTTACGGGGCGGGGGGCCGGCAGTACTCCTGAGGCGGTGTGCTTCCTCTGCAATTGTTGACAGAGGTTCCGTCAGCTCTGAGAGCACAGTCCTCCCTAAGAAGAAATTCAACATAAACTTACCTCAGTGTGATTTCTCTTGGCCGGTGATGTGAACTACCTTTTCCTTACTCTACTCTTCTGTGAGGTAACTTGACTTTTGTGGGTGCGGAGCTGGACACGTGTCGGGAGGGGTAATGGCTGTCCCAAGTGTTTCTGAGAAGAACGGTGAAATTACATTGGCATTGGTAAAAAAATGGATCTGGAATCTCGATTTAGGGTATACAGTAAAAAGATTATATCAGGAAAAAGGTAAAATCCTTGCATCTTGGAGAGGTTGGTGAAAGAACATGAGAAGGGTTGTTAGAACTTGGGGGGGGAAGTTCAAAGAATGAGCTTATTTTGTGCCTGTGATGGTGGTTTCAAATTTTAATTAGAGGGCTTGTCCTCTGGAGGAATAAAACAAATGAAAAATAGTGACTGTATGAAATGTGATTATATGAACAATACCTGATTTTTTTTCTGAATATCACCCAGATATTAGGGATTAAAACCCGGCACTCTCATGACCAGGCATACTTCTGTGGCCGTAATACTGGTTTCCATTGTCGTTTTCAAAAGCAGTCCATCAGTCAAGCTCTAAGTGCTAGAAAATTGCTAACTCTGCCTGAAAGTTCAGATCTTTGTAGCCTGAACTGCATGTTTTCTCTAATTCCAGGCTTATGCCTCATAGTGACAGCTGCAGTTCATAGACTTGTAGAAAGATTTAAGCAGGAGGCTCAGCTGGAGACCTGCAGTCCAATCCCTTGCTCACAGCAGGGCCAGCATCACAGCTACAGCAGACTGCTTAGCTGCGTTTTGAAGATCTCCAGGGAGATTCCTCCATCTCTCTGGCCGTGTCCCAGGGCCACCTCTCTCTCCAGAAAGGACTGTTTCCTTACGGCCAGTTGGGATTTTCCGTGTCGCAATTTGCGGCAGTGCTTGTGGTGCTTTTGCTGCCCCTCGGAGCAGGGTCTGTAACCCCTTTGGGCAGCGGGCAGCACGCCCCACCGTCTCCATGGCTCTGCGCTGGGCTCAGTCCACTTTGTTGATGTCTCTCTTGCTAGTGGGGCCCCCAAAGTGGACCCAGTGTCCAGATGTGGCTTCTTCAGTGCCAGAATTGCTTAATAAACCTGCTGATACATAATTATATTGCTTCAGACTGAGCATGTGCAAAGTGAGCCCTACTACAGATCTTGTGCTTACCTTCATCTTTTCCCTCCTGCAGTCCCTTCTCTATCACCTGAAGCCCCACTCTCCTCCAGCATAATTATTAGTAGGAGACCAATGCTGCAGCATTCAGTCCAAAACCCATTCTCTGAAGTACTTTGGCAGCAGCAGCAGCCTGCACCTTGCCTCTGTCTTTGCACAATGCTCCTCTTTTGAATGCTGTGATAATAATATACATTAAACATTTAATATTAATGTGGTGTTTTACAGGTAAAAATAGCAGAGTTTTCTCGAACTCCTGAAGATTTTTTAAAGAAGTATGATGAGCTGAAGTCTAAAAATACAAGACATCTAGATTCTTTAGTTTATCTACTGTCAAAACTCACAGAAGACAAAGAGGTTTGTTTCTCCTTTAGAACTGGATCTGTTATATGTATTCAGCAGTAGTAACAATGCAATGATTTTAAGTACAGCACGCTTTCTGATGACAGTGTTCAGCGACATGCATTGAAAACAACAGTTCTAGCATTTACTTAATTATTAAAGCGCTACTGAGAATTACACTGCTCTTGATATAAACCACTAAGACACCGGAAACAGAAAGACCTGTGGTCTGATTCACCACAACTGTCTTATGGTCGTATGTTTTTTGCTTTGGTGTGTGCTGACCAGCATTCACAAAATCTTTTCTTTTTGTGTATGTACAGACACTCCAGTATTTGCAACAAAATGCCAAAGAAAGGGCAGAACTTGCAGCAAATGCAGCAACCAGTGGCAGCACAAATTTTTCCATTCCCTCATCTACTTCCAAGATATCTCTACAGGAGCTCGAGGAGCTACGCAAGCAGCTGGGCAGTGTCGCAGCCAACTCCAGTGTACAGCAGGTACTGTCTCCTCCCAAGCTTTGGGTACAAAATCTTTCCCTTCTGCTCATGTGTATAGCTGTGCTCTTAACTTCTATCATCTAGTGGAATTATAAATGTTCCTATCTGTGCAGATAATCTAAATTATCTCTCAAAATTTATTTGTCAGATTATATTAAATCTTTGTGCTGTTCTTAATAAAAGTGGCCTTTTTCTATTTAAGTCAGTTAAGGCCACAACAGTTCACACTGCCGGGGGTTAATGTAATTTCATTTTCCCATTTCAAATGACTGCTTTAAGCTGTGCTGGTGTTTGCTTTTCTGCCTGTGGCGGTGCTTGCTCAGGAGCTCAGGAGCCACTGTGGCATGTCCCCATCCTTCCTAGGAGTTCTGCTCTCTCAGATAATGTGGGTACAATGCCTCACATAATCACTCCCCAAGTGGACACAGCCATTCCCTCTACTTAGCTATTTCAACTCCTGAAATAAATGCTGCAAAGTGATCCCAAAGACAAAAAGGAAGAAAAAAAACCTGCTGTAGAAGTAAACTGTATCATTGCAAGACACAGGCTTAGAAAACAGTTAAGCAAGCATTTCATTATCAGTACGCCCAGAGGTAGGAAGTGCAAAAGGGCGATTATTACTTAAATCCCAACTTCTATTTCCTGTAATCATTTGTACAAATAACTATACTGTGATGGGTTGACCTTGGCTAGCCACTCTATCACTCCCCCTGCTCAACAGAACAGGGGGGAGAAAAATACGATGAGAAGCTTGTGGGTCAAGATAAGGGCATTTTGGCTGCGGAAGGCACAGGAGCAACTGTGTATGGACAGTTATTTGGACAGAGGTGAAAGAGTGATAAGGTCCGTAGTGAGTGAGCAAATATGTGCAAATGCTTCCATTTAAAGTTTTGCAGCTTACCTTTGTCCCAGAGGTTTGTTTCTGTTCTGCCTTCTGATGACTGGTCAATAAAATCTAACAGGGGACAGGCCTCCAGGCTCTGTATGTGACTGTTTCTGAGGATGCTGGCCTGCTTATGAATGCTCAGAAATCACACATTGGGCTCTTTTCCGTCTGCAGTCTCTGTTGAGGCAGTCCTGCGCCCTCCCTCAGTGGAGGCATATCTTTGTCTTTCAGTGCACAGGGTCTGTCTGCATTGATGTGGTGTGTGCTTCACAGCTGCTCACCCTGCAGCACTGCTGGCCCTGTCTTGGCCACGTGGCAGCATTCACATTCATGATGCATCCTACAAACCTTTGCTCTTGAGCTCTGTAGCTATGGCTGTATGCGGTTTATTTCCTGTGCTGGCTCCTCAGCAGATGCGCGTTACTCTTCAGTCTGTGAAGATCTTTCTGTGGCAGTGGCAGAGCAGAGATAACACCTTCCAGGGAACACCCTCCTGTCCCTGGTGAAGATGACGACAGTAGATGATGCATCGACCACCAAGTGGGGGGTTTGCTGTGGTGGACAGATCACTTCAGGCCATCGATGGCTAGAGGAATGGACCCTCCGTGTTCAGTGTTTTGGGACGCTCAGCGGGTCTCTCAGCTTGAAGGGGGCTGTACATGCATGTGATGATGGAGAGTTCAAATCCTAAACAGAGAGAGTCCAACCCCCTGCCCCTGTCAGGCAGTGATGAAACCAGCCTTGTTCCACGTACACTGAAATACGTGTTTGCGCAGACTGTTTGCTGGACTCATCCAAATCCTTCACAGATGATCTGAGTCGAATGGTTGATTTAGATCATGAAGGGAAGATGAATTTCTAGTAAGATAACTGATCTTTTTAGTAGGATTTACATGCAGACTTGCTAAAAGAGGAAAGAAGAGTAAGTGGTGGTCTCTGGGATGTGCAGTTCACAACCAAAAGAATTGAAATGGCAATGCAAGCCAATTAAAAAGATTTGTGCCTCCCTGCTGTTCCATTTATACTTTGTTCAGACTTAAAGAGCTGAAACTCTGATAAAAGGCCCTAATGGGCAGGTGCTCGGGGCCATTGAGCCATCAATAGGGCTGTATCAACACACACAGCTGAAATCTCTTGACCCAGAATTTCTGCTAGAGCCACGTCCCAAGAGGACTGTCAAGTAGTCATAATAACTGCAATTCATTTATTTCTCCGTCTCTCTTCGAGAAGCCAGGTTGTGCACTGGCACAAGCCCTGGACTGATCCTTCACAATGTATTAATGGACGTGAGGGTCTCTCTTGAGCAACTCTATTTGTGATCCTTGTGGCACCATCTTCATGCACCGGGCATGGAGGATAGCTGCCAGTGTTTCCACAGATCCGTTGCGGCGCTGGTGGGAGGAACCGCTGGGGTTGTCCAGTCCAGCCTCCCTCTCACAGCAGGACTGTCACCCACACTAGATCAGGGCAGCTGTTGTTTTGTCCATCTGAGTCCTGCAGGCCCCCAGGAGGGAGATACCCCACCTCCCTGCTGACTCCCCATGGCTGCTCCCCCTCTGCGGGAAGAAGTGTCTCTTCCTGCCCGATGTCAGTATCCCAAGAGGCAGCTTGTGTCCATGGCCGCCTGAACCTCCTGCCCCTGCTGAGAGAAGCTCGGCTTCACCTGTCATCTTGGTACTCGTCCTTTCTGTAGTTGCAGACTGCTCTTAGACCTTCTGTTGGCCAGACCCAGCAAAGCCCAGCTGCCCCCACCACTCCTCCTTGGTCGTGTGCTCTAGGTCCAGTGTATGCCCACTGCTGCCCATTTTCCCTGGCATCAGAGATATAGTGCAGGCAGCTCTTTGGCGCGGGTGGCATTCATTGAGCATGAAGATGAGCTCTTTCTCTCTCTCGATGGATGTGGGCACTGTCATTGCTTAAGATATCAGATGCAGGCTCATCAGCGTGACAGTGGCAAACTGCCACCCTATCCCATGGGCTTTTAAGTGCCAGGCTGACATCCGAGGGCCACGTTTTCAGTCCTGGGAGTTTTATCCAGGCTGTCATTGAAGCCTGTAATGACAACGATCTAAATTTTAAGTTGCAGAGAGAAGGTGATTCATGCCTGTGAAACATGTGCTGTGCCATCTGCCCTGTGATTACTTGGCACTGTCAGGGAGATCATCCAGCGGTCTTTCAGTGATTGGAGTTGCTGCTTGGATTAGTTTTCGCCCAAGAATCATTGAGGTGGTAAAACTTATGTGTTCCCTTTCAGGTAGCTATGTCCTTTACAGCCAAAACTGTGTCAACTTTTTTGAACTCTGCCAGTTAACAAATTCACGCTAGAGCTGGTTAAACTCCAACAGAAGTTCCCTGCCTCTTGTCATCCCAGAGAATCACCAGTGAAGAAGAACCAGTCCCTTGAGGAAGAAGGTTCTGCGTTTGTTTCAGGGGTTCTGGCTGCTCCTTTTCACGATCACTATAAGGAATAGGGACAGATGCCACAGCCCACACCCTTACTCCAGGCACGCCCCAGCCCATAGGTTGCGAGCTCACAGGGACAGAGGTGCCGGCATTCTCCCTCACAGTGCCATGAGCTCATCTAGTTCAGGGACTTCCCTCAGGCACTGGGAGCTATTGGGCTTATTCTTGTATAATATGGAAGTAGGGAATTTTACAATAGGTATTTTCCAGGGCCAAGAAGGAAAGGAGACTACTAGATGGATAAGGAGTTTGCTGGATGGCTGCATCCAAAGAGTTACAGTCAATGGCTCAATGCCCAAATAGAAACTAGTAATGAGTGGTGTCCCTCAAGGGTCCATATTGGGACCAATACTATTTAGCATCTTCATCAATGACTAGTGCAATTGAGTGCACCCTCAGCAGGTTTGTGGATGGCACCAAGCTGAGTGGTGCACTGGATACACTGGAGGGAAGGGATGCCATCCAAAGGGACCTTGATAGGCTGGAGGAGTGGGCCCACGTGAACCTCATGAAATTCAGCAAGGCCACGTGTAACGTCCTGCACCTTGGTCAGGGCAATCCCCACTATCAGTACAGACTGGGGTTGAATGGATGGAGAACAGCCCTGTGGAGAAAGACTTGGGGATACTGGTGAAAAAAAAATTGGACATGAGCCGGCAACGTGCACTTGCAGCCCAGAAAGCCAAGCGTATCCTGGGCTGCATCACAAGAAGTGTGGCCAGCAGGTCGAGGGAGGTGATTCTCCCCCTCTACTCCATCCTCATGACACCCCCCCTGGAGTACTGCATCCAGCTCTGGGGTCCCCAGTGCAAGAAAGGCATGGACCTGTTAGAGTGGGTCCAGAGGAGGCCACAAAAATTATCTGAGGAACACCTCTCTTATGGAGAGAGGCTGAGAGAGTTAGGTTTGTTCAGCTTGGAGAAGAGAAGACTTCAAGGAGACCTTACTGCAGCCTTTCGATATATAAAGGGGGCTTATAAGAAAGGCGGAGTAAGACTTTTACCAGGGCCTGTAGTGACAAGACAAAGGGCAAAGGTTGTAAACAGAAAGAGGGTAGGTTTGGATGGGATGCTCCATCCCTGGCAGTGTTCAAGGTCAGGTTGAACGGGGCTTTAAGCAACCTGATCCAGTAAAAGATGTCCCTGCCCACGGCAGGGGAGTTGGACTGGATGATCCCTTCCAACCCAAACCATTCTGTGAGTCTATGATCTGATTTCATTTTGGCAGTTGGAAGACAGGAATTAACTTCATGTCTCTGAATTTCCAAGGTGTAACTTTCATATAGTCAATCTCACTGAACTAGCTCTATTTTATAGTACTGTCCTCCATCCACACGCGCTGTTGAGATCTTACCTGGCTCTGTTAGGTTGTATGGTCTCCCATACTTAGCGCAATGCCTCAGAAGCTTTTGGACTTAGACACTTTCTTAGTCTGCTCTCTCATAAGTATGCATGTTCATGGAGATGTTGTGATGGTGAGGTCCATGGTTTGTGGAGCTTTTCTTCCAACTCATTGCTCCCTGCCATTTGGGAAGATGTAATGATGGCTGCCCTTCTCCTAAGGAGAACCTTGTTCATACAGCCGTGTTGCATAGGGCCAGTGCTACAGGAAGATCTTCCATTCCAAGTCTTCCTTTAACGACCTCGAGCTCAAGACAATACAGAAAGTGCACATGATGTTTTCATCTTTTAGCCAATGTCTGTGTGTCTGGATCGTGATGGACAAGTAAACTACTACATACTACTTCGATAAAGGAGTATTTTCTCACTGTATGGGTTTAAGATTTATGAAGGAGTTCAAGTCGTTTACCCATGTGAAGGTCTCAGTCCTACACCGAGATCTGCAATTTTATGTGAAGTTTAGTCATCCTTTGAATTGCTGGCAGCTTACTTGACACTTCATCCTTCTCCATACCCTCCTAAAAGAGTCCTGTTTCTGTAAGGGGAGCAGAGGAAATTGAGGTCTTTCTAGCAGATCACACATATACAGTATAAGTAGGAATGTAGTGTTGCTTTGGGGTGCCTCGCTGACCTGAGGACATTGTACCGGTGTTATGCCAGCAGCGAGGCTGCAGTAAACACATACGGAACCGGTGCTGCTTGGAGGAGTAGTCCCACAGCTGATGCTTGTTTGAAGGATTTCAAGACCCAGCACTTGGGCAGCTCTGAGAATATGAAAAGTAGCCGGGGCCAGCCACAGTGTGCATCAACTACCTCTCACATGTAAGACTGCCATTCTTTAAGATGCAAAGCTCACACGTACGTTTGCTTCCTTCCCAAGTTCCTCTCTCCTCTTAGATCTCCTATGAGAGGAAAGTAAAATGACCCTGTGCATATCCCGTTTCACATACGCATCTGTGGAGCTTAAGAAATGGCGTTCATAAGCATGTCCCCACATGTCCCCTGTGTTTGTGCACTTGGGGCTCTAAATGTTCATGTAGGTGGTACATCTCACAAGCCTGTCCAGCTGATAATTAATCTTGCACTCCATTTATTTTAGTGTCAGAGACCCAGAACCAGTGGTGGAAAGTCTTTTGGTCTTTAAGAGCTCACCTCCTTTGCTGACTTCTATTCAGAGTAAAAAAACTCCATCACTTTCCAGCTACCTATGGGTGGATTATCTGGATTGCATTTGGCACACAGCTACTCAGTGGGCACTGTGCGGAAACCGAGTTCAGAAGTGTTCGTTAGCCTGTCTGCGAGTGCCCCTTGAATAAGATGTTACTGCTTACTGCTTCTGGAAGGAGTTTGCTGCCTTTCATGTGGTGCGCTTTGCAAACTAGTAAGCTGCCTGGGGTTGTGCATGTCCCCATTCTGCTCCCCTATGTGTGCCAACTGTATAAAAAAATCACCTCTGCAGCACTGAGACCAAATCCTATACTGTGCTACTGAAACATCAGCTATTCTACTTTCTGTTCTCAGTTATCAGTTTACAGTCAATTTCTGCTTAAAATTCAAAATTTCTTGGACTTCTTTTCTCTTTTTTTCCAACAGCCTCTTGAACTTACACGAAAAATCCTCCGAGATAAGCAGAACAAGAAGAATTCTGGTCAGCCTATTCCAGTATTTCCGTCCTGGGTGTATGAGAGACCTGTACTTATTGGCGATTTCTTAATTGGCACCAGTTTAAGCACGGACACAACGGTACCTATAGGTATGTGTTATGCATTAACTTTTTATGCAGATGAGGAGCGGGGTTCAAAAAAAAACCCAAACTTATTTTGTTCACAGTATTTCTCCTATGCTGAATTCCAGCCCCACTGTTGATCCATGGGATCTAATCTGTTTTGAGTTTCCCAGTCCTTTTTCTCTCTTGAGTTACAGCCTCCATAAAATCTGTAGGAGTATCACATCTGTATTCTCAGCTGAAAAATCTGTAGGCGTACCTGGCAAGGGAGTATTCATCAATCCACCCAGCTCAATATCCTCTCCAGTAAGACTATAACAACCTCCCTGATTTGCTGTCTCTCTCCTCGCCAGAGCCAGCAGGGGACTAATCTCTCCCTGTTGTATTCTGGCTTTAGGCTGAGCTTGTATAGTTTCTTATTCATAGATTAGATTTAAGAGCTTTTTTTGGAAGGGAACAGCTGAGTTAGAGACTCATGTTTCCATTCCCCAGAACTGTGGAGGCTCCTACAAGAAACCTGTAGCTTCTTGCTGATGTGGATTTGGGCTGCGTCTAAGGGGAACTTGAAAACAGTAGGCTTATTCTTGGAGGTGCCCTTTAAGTAGCTTGTCCACCAGTGCATTTCTGCCGGTGCCTTTTGGGATGTGCTGTGAGGGCATGTTCCTAGCAAGCTCAGAACTGTTTGTTCTCTCACGTACAGTCCTACAAATGGAGAGGGGTTGTTGCCTTGTTTCATGAGATAAGCTTTGCTGTAGTTAGTGTTGTAGCCACTCTGTTCCCTGATCTTCTGATGCACTTGATTATATTTTGGGTCGAGTCCTTTGTGCTTCTTGCAGCTGGTTTGTAGTTGACCGCACCATTCAGAGACCCTACAGTTTGCAGTTCACCTGCAGCTTTTGCTGGGCCAGCATTTCTTTGTGTCTGTATTTGAACTGTTTTGTTGATATTTGAATATTTCAGTAGAGGGGAGGTAGGGGGCATTGTTGAGTCCAGTATAACTGAGCCCTTTTGGGTGGCAGGATCAGCAGCACAAGCTGTGGGTGGTGTTCTCTTGGCCACAGATGTTGGATGTATAGCCCTGTCTACTTGGTTTGCTTTGGGTGTAAATGAGCAAAGGATTCTGTTTTCCAGGAAAGCAAGGTAGACGATTTTGGAGTTGACCCTAACTCAGTTTTATTTCTCTATATGTTCATTCAGCTTTGTGTGATCTTCCTTTGTTCTCTTTGAATGGTAGTATGTCTTCCTTTCAAGCTTCAGGTACTAGATTGAAATGATACGAATGGATGATCAGGTAGTACTACGGCATGTTCTGACGGTGTTCTTTTTTTGTCTTCTCTTTAAAAACAGGTACCTTGCCATTAGCCTCTCAAGAATCCATGATTGTGGAAGACTTGCTGTACGTTCTGATTGGTGTGGATGGAAGATACATCACAGCACAGCCTCTCGTAGGCAGGCAGAACCGAGCGTTTTCAGTCGATCCAAACTTGGACTTGTCCATCAAAGAGCTGGTGACCAGGATTCTTCCTGTAGCAGCAAGTTACTCTGCTGTCACCAGGTACCAAGCTGACTTTTGTCAGAGGAAGATGTTCTCCTTTGAGCATCAGGTTGTAGAATAGAGAATCTGTCATTGTGCAGATGTTAACTTCCAAGCTTAATTTAAACCTATGGGGATATAAAATAAGAATGACAATTTCTTTGAATTGGTTTTAGCTACGTTTCTTTTTGCTGGGTTTCTCCTCTGTGCTGCCAGTTCACTTTTTCATTCACCTCACCTTTGCTTTGTCCAAACTTGGTCTTGCTAAATTCAGGCAAAGTGCAAATAGGATGTCTTGTGGCTTGTCTCTTCCCACTCTGCTATGAATTTCTCCATGTTTCCTGCTTTTTGCTCTCCTCTGGGCATCCAGGACTGAAACAACCTTTGTGTGCTTCTGAGCAGGAGAACCTACTGCTGCCTAGTTTCTCATAGCTACCTTAAGTAATTGTTAAAAGGTCTTAGTATAAGGTACACCTCACTAGCAGTAGATGCTTGTTACGTAGATGTCTGCATTTGATTCAAAGTCCTTAAAAGATCGGCAAAGAGAAAGAAGCATTTTTAGGATATGATTCATCCAATCTCTTTTACATGTCTCCTTCCAGATGATGTGACTTGTGTTCAGAAACATCTGTCTGTCTCCACTAACATGTATGAAGCCGTCTAAATCTGGTCAGAATAATCCCTGCTGTGGCATGTGGTGTCAGAAGCTGGCAACAGTGCTTTCCCCACATGTCTGGGTGCACATTGCTTCCTTTTGAGATCTCTTCGTGTCCTCTACTCTGTTGCTTATGCAAAGACAGTCGCCTTGAAAATCCTGGCTCTCACTTTTAACATTACTTTCGCAAATAATTCTAGTTCCCCTGCAATTTGAGAGGAAACATCTTCCTACAGCTTTCCTTACTAGGAAATGTGGTGATGGGAAATAGGCAGGGGGACACAGAGCAAATGTGGAACCTGAAACTCCAGCTGAGGACTGGTGCACTTTCCAACACACGATCTACTTGTGTGCTTGTACAGTGTCATGAAGATAAAATTCCTGACAATGATAGAAGGTGCCTTGCCTGAAAGAGTTTCCATTTTGCTTTTTACAGGTTTATAGAGGAGAAGTCTTCCTTCGAGTATGGACAGGTAAATCATGCTCTGGCTGCTGCTATGCGGACTCTAATCAAGGAATACATGATACTAATTACGCAGCTGGAACATCTTCAGAGACAGGGACTTCTGTCACTGCAGAAACTCTGGTTTTATATCCAGCCAACAATGAGGACACTGGAGATTCTTGCTTCACTTGGTAAGTTTCAAAAATGCAGTCATTACATTTTGACAGGTGCATGACAGTGGCGTCGGAAAACTGTACAGAGTAGCAATACAGGCAGGGCATGTGTCGTTTTAATTTTATGTTATATTAAAGAAGAAACCCAAGGGGAACTGTACTTGTCAGAGCACTGCTCTTTTTTGAGAGCAGTGGGCTCTAGGGCTGAATCTACCCTTCAGAGCTGTCATGAGGCAAGTCCATGCCTTTCACCTTCACAGTCCATGCCCTTCGGATCAATTGTTTCCACCACTGCTGTCTCTACTCAGCTTCTTTCCAAATGCCTCTCCAGCTGTGTGTGGATGAATAACCACAAACCGATTCAACCAGAAGGGAACCGTGGAAGTTTCTAGTCTAACCCCTTGCTCACAGCTACAGCCAGTTGCTCAGGGCCATATCCAGGCAAGCCTGGACAATCCCCAGCAATGGAGATCCCCCCACCATTCTGGGCCATTTCCCATGACTTCACCACCCTTTTTGTGAACATTTCTTTCTGTATCTCCAACTGCAATTGCCCTTCTTGTAACTTTCGCCCTTTTGATGTTGTCACTGCGCTCCTCCAAGAGGAGTCTCTTACCATCTCCTCTAGAACCACCCATTGGATAGTGAAGGAATGATGTTCGACAACCCCCAGCTTCATCTTCTCTTCTCTCAGCTAACTAGCCCAGCTCCCTGAGGCTCTCCTTGTATGCCTTAGGCACCTGTCCCCCACCACCTTATTAACCTCTGCTGGACTCTTCATTTTGTCATTCATACTGGGGACCCCAAACTGAATGCAGTGTTCCAGGTGTGGCGTCACCAGTGCTGGGCAGAGGGGAATACTCGCTGGCCAGTGCAGCCCTGGGTGCAGTTGGCATTCATCACTGCAAGGACCCACGATCAGCTGGTTGTCCACCAGGACTCCCTGGTTGTTCTCTGCAGTGCTGCTCCTCAGCCAGCCGGTCCCAGCCTGTGCCATTGCGTGAGGTTGTTGGTCACAGATGCAGTTACCTCAATAATTTTGGTTAAAATTATCTCTTTGGCATGAGAATACTTGTATATTTCTCTCTGCTTAGCCCAGAGAATTTATCTGGACATAAATATCTGTTGTATTTACAATCTGGAATTGGATGATCCCACTTGGTATTCACGTTTCCTGAAATTTTCAGGTTTTTGAAACACAGCAGTTAGCCAACTGCATTAAGGTTTACTTCGATCCGAAACTCATGGCAGTACTGTATTCCTCTGTCCCTACGTCCCTTTTGCGATGACAAAGTACAGATTTCACTATCAACCTACCTAAATCCTGGTGTTCGAGCTATACGCATGGCTACCTCAATGTTACCGTTGAGAACAGAAGTGCTTTTGAGATCAGAGGTTTCTCAAGCAAGCCACTGCAGTGTGCATTTCTTCCATTACCACCTGGAAAGTGGATCTCTATACATGGTCCACTTGGTGTAGGAGGCTTTTGGACTCTAAGCCACCATGTACCTTGTGTCTACCTGAGTTCAGTTCTCCTTCCCTGGAGGGTTGGGTTTGGTTATTGCTTTTTTAGATTGTGGATCATTTGGGTTTTCGTTTCAGGACATTTCAGGATGTAAGCTTTTGGTTGTGTGGTGGCATGGCCTTGCATCTTCACAGGAGGAGTCTACAGCTGACATGGAGATCTGTGACTTAGGGTGGTCAGCTAATCGACTGCTAACTTCATTATGCTTAACAACATAGCTTGTGCAATTAATCTGTGTCAGCTTTGTGTCTTATATCCATATTTTTGAATTTTAGCTACTTCTGTGGATAAAGGTGAGTGTATGGGAGGATCAACCCTGAGCTTACTCCATGACAAGACTTTCAATTACACGGGGGACAGCCAGGCCCAGGAGCTGTGCCTGTATTTAACCAAGGCAGCCAGTGTGCCTTACTTTGAAATTCTGGAAAAGTGGATATATCGAGGCATCATTAATGATCCATACAGGTAAAGAACAGTTAAGGAATGAAAATGAAATGCAAAAGTTAAGAAATACTGTTCGGGTCTTTGACTTCTACTTTTTTAGTGCACCCATCCCTCTGCTCTGTAGAGTCTGCATAGCCTAGGGGCCTGGACCTGGCAGCAGTAGGTAGACAAGGCAGCATTGCAAGGAAGGGGAGCTGCTGGAGCATGTTTAACTACGTTTCTTGTTTGATTCAGTGGTTATACAGTCAGAGACACTCTCACTTGCTTTATTTTTCCGAATTCAAGGAAATTATACGTAAAAATCAGTAGCACCACTGTTCAAATATGCAGTCCACTCAAATTCCACCTTACCATGCGTGTTCCCCTTTAAGTATTCTCCTCTCACATCCTCATCCTCTTCGCAACAGGGGTGAGCCCTCTTCTCATGGGGCACAAGCATGGTAACTCGGTGAATCTATGTTAAAAGTAGTCCACTAATATGCTAATCTCATATGAGCTAACAACACTTTCTGAAGTTTCTTGGCTTTTGTAGAATCATTTGAAGCATTTCACTGTGTTTAATAGTTTATGCAGCATTTCTGTTTCCCACATTTTCAGAATCCTAAGGGGGGCAAAACTCAAGTTAAAATAGCTAAAATTAAAGCCTTCCTGATGGTGAGAAGGCAGACAAACGCCAGCTTCCTCACCTCTACACTGACAACCGAATAATGTTTCAACTTGGTTTGTGAACCCTATAAAATTCTCTTTCTGTCATAATTAATTGCAGATTAGCAGAAATACTCTGCATTACGCTTCTCCTCTTACTACAAATACAGACTAATTTCAATTCTTGATTGGAATGCATTTTCATGAAACCTTATTTCTGATAGTTCATATTACCAGTTTACAGATCAAAAAAAGTAATCCTCATTGTACCACTTCCTGCTTCTAAACATCTGCTTTAACTGTTCAGTGAGTTCATGGTGGAGGAACATGAGCTGCAGAAGGAGAAGATTCAAGAAGACTATAATGACAAGTATTGGGATCAAAGATATACTGTTGTTCAGCAACAGATTCCCTCATTCTTGCAGAAAATGGCTGACAAAATACTAAGCACAGGTAGGTAAAGATATGCTTTTGATGTAAGAGGAATCTTGAGACAAGCATTACCATTCTTTATGTAAAGATAAAGTAAATGTCATCGTGCTTTGCCAGTTTATGGGGTTGTCCAGCCGAACTCTCCAGAGAAATAGAAGAATCAGATTTAAAAGAACCCAAATCCCATCAATAAAACAACATGTGGGAAGGAGTCCACCAGCAAGGGGAGCTGTCTGTCTTACTGCTCTGTTTCGTGGCTACAGGTTTTTAGCAGCTAGCTAGATGGAGCTAGACAACTGTGGGTTGAACATGCTGAATTTTAATTTGGGTATTTAAATGAAGCATGCAACCTGATAGCTACCATTGTTCTCTGCCATAAGTACAAAATCCGCCAAAAGCTACTTCTGAAGAGCAGCACCAGATCTTCCAAGTTTCTGGCTATCTGCAGAGATGTTTTGCCACCACTGGGAAACAAAACCATTTCTAAATCTCTCCTTAAACGTGATACTAGGTGCCTAATTTAAAATTCTGTATCATCTTTTGAAAAGCGTCTAAATCCTTTCCAGCTTTCAGTAGAACTTAGTGTAAACATTTCACAGCGTATCTTCTGCTTGAAGGTAGAGGTCTGAAAGTTTCCCTGTTGGATGTACAGTCGGTATGAATATGGGTCATTCTTTCTTTTTGCTCCTAGGGAAATATTTAAATGTTGTGCGAGAATGTGGACGTGATGTTACCTGCCCTGTGGCTAAAGAGGTCATCTATACTTTGAAAGAGCGAGCATATGTGGAACAAATAGAAAAAGCATATAACTATGCTAGCAAAGTTCTTCTGGATTTCCTAATGGAGGAGAAAGAGCTGGTGGCTCACCTAAGGTTTGATTTATTTTACTAAATGCATGTTAAATAGATTGGTTCTGACAGTGAACGTAAGTGTTTGAAGTTAGCTCTCTTTTCTTGGGATATTATTAATGTATTCTCTCTATTTCCATTAGAAAGGTCGACCTGAAAAAATAATATTTTTTTTTTTCCTGAAGGAAAACCAAGAAAAGTGTAAAATCATAGAAATATTGGGTGGGAAGGGTGTCAGGGGGTCTCTAGTCCAACTTCCTTGGAAAGCTGTTGCCAAAACAAGGTCAGGGCAGCCGTGGCTTTGTCTAGCTCAGTCCCAAAACCCGCCCTCAAGTATGAATATCCCCCATCTCTCTCATGGCTGCGTGTCACTCCCACCCGGGAAAGGAGTTTCCTAATATCATCTGGTACAATCAAGAGGAGTTTAGCATGAATAAGAAATAGTGTGATATTAAGCATCTCACCAAATATATGCTATGGTTATTGTTCATGCAAACATAGGTAGTTGGAATAGAGTAAGTGTATTAACCCGAAGTTCCAGTGCAGAGTTTTTCTTAACATTGTTCATTTTAATAACCTATATTTTGATTCTCGTAATACGTTCAGCCGATAGCAAATGCAAGTGCATTCTAGCATGCAAACTCCAGCTTCCTTGTGTAAATCAAGCTTTTAGTATGTTACTATCTTCAGAAAACAGTAAAAATAGGAATCTTAACTGTCCAGAAGACCAAGACAGCAACAAATAGGTAGGAGATTGCAGTTGATAGCTGGTTGTAAGATAGTTTGTAATTGGGCTGAGACCTGGTACCAGAGGTTCTCCTCCAAACCAGTGACACAGTGTGAAAGAAAGTAGTCTGAGCTTCATGGGACAAACCTGCCAAGGGACTTGCATAAGAAGATGCCCATTGGGAGACATAAGCTGGAGCAGTAATGGTAACTGAAGTGAGTGTGCCTAGCAGGCCAGGTGGGATTGCTTTGGGCTTGCTTTTTGCTAGGTCTGAAGAAGTTGTAGCTGCAACAAAGGTGTCTGCTCCAAACCTGGGAACACTACGGCTCCAGCTGAGAGAGGTTGTGGGAAGACCTGAAGATCCATGGTTCACTTTGAAACTGATATGTGCCTTCCTGCACTGTAAAAACCACCAGAGAATATGCCTTTTTTCTTGAAAGGTTATGAAAGCTGTGTGAAACCTGCCAGTCATTAAGGAGATTCTTCCTAGCCTTTCTAATGACTGTCATCCCTCCAGGACTTCTTTGCTTAATAGGACTGTACAAAAGACACTGGCTTCCAATGCTCTGGTGGACATGTCCTCTGTTGGGCCAGCCTATCACAATGTAGTTTCAGATTAAGGTGTTGCTCAGCCTCTCCAGCTGGGCTTGATGTCTATGACCTCCTCATCTTCGAAACAGGCTCTCTGCTAGATCATTCAGCAGCTCTCCTGTGTATATGTAATCTGCTGGGTTGCAAGTGCAGGGGCAGCTGGTTGAGGAGGAAGCTACTGAGCTTCCAGCGCGTGTGTGCACTTTGAAGGCTGAAGTGGGATGGTTGTGATCAAACCCCAGGAACCTGTGACAAATAACCACGTCTCCTCAGTTAAGTGGGAGTACTGACTCTCTCTCTCCACCATCCCAGAAATGTTGGTTGGAAGGGACCAACAGCCTTGGCAGATCTCTAGTTCAACCTCCTGCTTGAAGTGGGATTGTCTCCAGGTCAGGTTTTTATTTGGGTTTGCACTCTAGGGTGTGTCAGCAGTAAGTATCTTGCTCCCCTACCTGTGGTGTCCTCAGTTAACCACTGACACTGTCATGACTTCATCGTAACTGGGGGAGTTTTCTTGGTTCAAGAGGGTAATGATAGTCAGGGAAACAGAGGGGCTGAGCGTCATCCCAAACTGACAGTGGTCAGGAGTCTGCAGCCACATTGTGGTAAGGCTGTGCTGGTCCTATTTTTGCTCTGAAAACTGCAGTTATTGTGTGGTCTTTGGCCAGGCACTAAGTTAATCCTCAAACTCAACTCTGAGCTATTTCCAAGCTCCTGGTCTACTGCAGTTAACTCTTCCTGGTGCCAAGTGAAAATTAAAGTTTATGCATCCTACTATAGCAGAAGTCAATGCAAGCACCTGGAGTACTTAAAAAAATCAGCACAGATACTTGTTCATTCAAAGGAGTCCAAGACTCTGCTCTGAATTGGCAACTGCCTCTTGGATGGATCTGCACGCCGTGGAGGTTGAGGTGTTGCTGAGGATAGCAGTATGACCCTTTGCCCAGCAATGTAGTGCACGCGTTTTTTTTCCTAAGCTGCATTTTTCAAGGGAAAAAAGAACAGCAGCAACCCTGATCTGACTGCACAAAAGCATCCTGACTGAGGTGGTAGGGAGGAGGGGACATGCATAAAAGACTAGTCTCCAAATTGGTTATTTATGGCTGTATGTTCTCTATGAAGAGGAACATTTTGTGATCAAACCCAGCAGGCTGGCTGAATTGATTGCTTTTGTTCCTTTAGATTTAATATGGATTAACTTGAGCTTTAAAAAACATAATCAATTGTCTCTTCATTTTCTTGAGCAGATCTATAAAACACTATTTCCTGATGGATCAAGGGGACTTTTTTGTTCACTTCATGGATCTCACAGAAGAGGAACTTAAGAAGCCTGTAGATGACATCATAACTACGAGGCTAGAGGCTCTGCTTGAATTAGCCCTGCGAATGAGCACAGCCAACACAGATCCTTTCAAGGACGATTTAAAGGTAAGAATATATGTAAGCACAAGATAATTGAATTTGAGCAGAAGGCCTGCCATGATTTGGGAAGATCTGTGTGCCTGTAAGAACCTGCTGAATGTACAGTGAAGGAAAAGAGAATTGATGGCTGTCCTTCGGTAGACCTTCTCTGGGTTAAGTCCTCTGTCATCCAGATTAGCAACTGAAAGCACCCACCCTGGACAAGGGGCTGCGTTTTCTTGCTGGCATCTGAACATGGAGAAGGTGCTTTTGGGTGGCCCCAGGATGAGGTAGAAGCAGTAGTGTGTCTCTCATGCTTATTCTCAGCTTGGATGCTCACTTTGGAGTACAAGAAAATACCTGATTAGAAGTCCTGCCTATTAATGATTGCGTATTTTACAGATGTGAAGCAGCACAGAGGCTGTGCCTGGGGAGTGTGAGGTCTGAATAGACCTTACAGAGGTCGAGGGCAAGGGATAGCGGTCAGTGGAGTAGTATGTTTTATGCTGATTGTTAAACACTACAGCGACACTGGTCCGGTTTCTGCTGCTCCGTTCCAGATCATACCATTCACTATTGCTTCCTAGGTTGGTCTGATGACTTGAGAGTGACTGTGATAATTTGCACTCCTGCCACATGTCTGTTGCTGTGCAGTAGTTGTGAGTATCCTGTGGCTTCATTTTTTCCCTGCTCTTCCTTTATAGATTGACTTGATGCCCCATGACCTCATTACACAGCTCTTGAGAGTATTGGCCATAGAAACGAAACAGGAGAAGGCCATTATCAGTGCAGATCCCACAGAGCTCACTCTCAGCGGTCTGGAAGCATTTTCCTTTGACTACATTGTTAAGTGGCCTCTGTCCCTTATTATAAACAGGTAAGGTATCAATCCACTGAAGGAAAAAAGGGCAGAAGCTTTTGCTTAGGGTTGAAGCACGTTTCCACACAGCAAAATACTGGAAAGCCTGTATCTTTAAAGTGACATTATAAGTTGCTGACTAGTAAGGAATGCTTTGGGGTTGTTGAGCCCTGCTTGCTCCACTTGTAGACTATGGAATATGGATTGTCTCTTCAGGAGAGCCCTACTAGACCATGTCTAAGGCACGCTTGGAAAGTAAAACTTTCACTTCAAATGATGGGAAGACAGCATTTCTCAGCCTGGTCCCTGGTTTTACTTGTGACTGGTCATCCAGTTTTCATTTGTCCATGGCTTTCTGAAATATCTCCCTTGAGAATATGAACTCTCACAAGAGGGTTTCCATGCAAGAATCAAACATTTCTCAAGCGTGGAGAGTGGAAAAAAATGCACTTTTCCTAGTTGCAAACTAGACGGTTGCAGGCTGTTGCTAGAATTGCTTTAGCAAGCTATTTTGCATTTAATTGAGTTATGAGGGACTGAAAGGTTCATTTTTCTGCAGGGATTTGCATCCAGTTTCCCTGGAGAAACACTGGCAGACCTGCTGCTGTAAGCCAGGGCAAATGGGACAAGCAGTGTTACTTGAACAGGGTAACAGATGTTGAATTGTTAAATGCCAACAATTAGTTTGTCCCTTAATTTCCCCTTTAAAGAATCAGTTGACACAGTGGGACTTTTCTAATGGCGTGGTGCTTTTGAAATTATGTCTTTCTTTCAAATTGAGTGTATTAGCTCTGATGGTAGCTATGGAAGTGAAAATACTATTTGGTAAGGTTTCACGAACTGTATCGACTGGAGCTCTGTAGACACCTACACTGAAGAGTCTGAATGCAGACCTGAATCCAGTCCCTGAAGCTATAAATAAGCATCGCCATCTGCTTCTGACAGTGCATTGCTGGTGGGGTAATGCTGCCTGTAGCTTGGTTACAGCTTTTTCTTCATCTTTTTGGAGAATCCTTGTGAATTGTTTTGGTGATCATGGCAGTCTTGGTGCAGGGGGTACATGACTGCAGGCTTTCAGCCCTCCGTCCCAGCATCTGTGTGAGTGACCTTTCTGCAGGTAGCTCAAGGGAATTGAAGAAGGAAGCTGGTGATTTACCCGTTGGCAGGAAATACTGAGGAGGGACTCCTTGGAGAGAAATTCTTTGGGATGGTTACAAATGCGATTTTTTTTCTTTGGTTCGAATTGTTTCAGTGCGGATCTGTGTGCGTCTGAAGGTGTAAGGAACATATTGTGTAAAGTCTCTTTGCCTTTGAGCAGCCTCAGCCTTCACAGCTTAGTCTGTCAATCAGAACAGGGCTTAATCTGGACGGGTTTCTCCTTTCTTTCCAGGAAAGCACTAACAAGATACCAGATGCTCTTCAGACACATGTTCTATTGCAAACATGTGGAAAGACAGTTGTGCAACGTTTGGATCAGCAATAAGACGGCCAAGCAATTCTCCCTGCATTCAGCTAAGTGGTATGGCCTTTTTTTTCTGCTGGATCAGATACGAAGGTTTGATTTTCCTTCTTGCTAGTTAGATATGTCGTGACATGGATCAGATCATTTTGGTTTGAAAAAGAGCCTTACAAATTTCTTACAGGCTGAGAGATGTCAAAATACAACATTTTAGGTTTCGGTAGGAAGTGTCTGCTCAAAAATCTGTGTGCTACTTGGCTCATTCCTCTTTGTTGGCATGAAGTTTTGAAAAAGAAGAGATGGTCTTTAGGGCTAGCCCATTCTACACTGAACACAGTTACAGCAGAGGACATCTGCACATATCATCTTGGTCGCTACTTTAGCATCAGTAAGATTAGTAAGGACCCCAGTTGTTCAAAAGCAACATCCTTCTCTTCTGGCCAGACCACTAGCAAGGGCTCGTGACCTTCACACAGCTTGGCTAATGTTTGGGGTTTTGGTGTGATACAAATTGAATAAGGTAAAATTGGTGGGGTGTTTTCCCGGGAAATCATTCTGTCTTGTTCCATCTGTGAAGGCAGATTTTCATCTTTGGATCTGCACTCCAGGTGCTGGAGGTGCCTGTTTGGAGAGTGAGGCAGATCCCAGCATTGCGAAGTAGTACCTTCTGCCTTGCCAGTGGCACTTTCTTGTCACAAGGTAACCTGACCTCAGCCAACATGACTGTAGCTCTGGTTCTCCTGTAATTGTAGAGGTGTTAGCAGAAGAGACCTGTGAGGATCTCTAGTCCAACTTCCAGCTCACAGGACAACTGTGATCAGCAGGGGACAGGACAGCCGTGGTTGAAAACCCTTAGGGTGGGTATCCCCCACCTCTCTGGTGACCTGTCCCAGTGTGCTGAAGTCAGTTCCTAGTTTGCCATCACAGAGCCTGCATAAATTAATGTTGAAAGAACCTCTATATAATCCCACCATTCTATTTTTAAGGTGAAATTGCATTAAATACCCTAGGTGGCAGGTGATTTGATTAAATATTTGGATGCTCTGAACATATTGATGCAAGGCATAGAATATTTTTAAGTGCTCATTTAACAAGTAAGGCTGGAAAGAAACATGAACCATTTATCTTGTTACATTTTGCCCTGCTAACTAGTGCATGTCTCACTAGATAGTTACAATAGTAAAATTGCTTTAATATTTAATATTAAAATTTTCATTGAATATAAGCAAATATTCAGAGTAATTGTCCAGTCTACAACAGGTTCAAAACTCTGACTCTAGCAATTGAGGGAAAGCCATTTGAATATGTGGAAAATAATCAGAGATGGTTTGCATTAACTTTATAATCTCTCTCACATTGCAGCAGTGAATTTGCTAGGACAGAAATATTTAGCTCTGCTTGACTGTGCAAGCCTGGTGATAGTTCTTCATGGCATTTGCTAGCTCTAAGTTGTGTGGGTGTGATTTCTCCCCTAGGTTTGCTGGTGCTTTCACACTGCGGCAGCGGATGCTGAATTTTGTACAGAATATCCAGTATTACATGATGTTTGAAGTGATGGAGCCAACATGGCACATTCTTGAGAAGAACCTGAAGTTGGTGAGTGTGTGTGCTTGAGAGAAGTTGCAACGGAAGTCTTAAGTTAACAAATGTAATATAAGGAAAAAATGCCTAATTTCAGTTACTGCAGGTGGCTCTTAAACATTTTGTTGGAGGCACTTAAAGTATCTGGGAACTGTTGTTATTATCACACTGCAAAGAGTGCTGCTGTTCTACATCACCTTTCTGCTTTATTAGTCATATATCCTTTTCCTCTGGTGCACCCTCCTGTCTATGCCCAGCTCATACTCTGCACCCTGTTATGTAAAGGTGGTGTTCTGCTGAACGTCGCCTTGCACAGAAGAAAGAAAACTATGGAAAAGGAAGAAGAACGCAGGGTGCAAAGATCATAAACAGGTCCAGACATCTTCAGTTGATTCCTTGGCTGACTTACAGTGCTCTTAAAAGCCAAGTCTGTGCTTTCTCTTCCGTGAAGCTGCCAAGGACTGGTATGTTAGGACTATCTGTTATAAAACGGGGCCGTCCTTATTCAGGTGGCTTTTCCACATGTCTTCCCACTGCAGGTGGGCAAGGCTGGAAAACTTGTCCACTCCAGTGGTATCATAGAATCATAGAATCGTTTAGGTTGGAAAAGACCTTTGAGATCATCAAGTCCAACCGTTAACCTAGCACTGCCAAGTCCACCACTAAACCACGTCCCTAAGCCCCACATCTACACGTCTTTTAAATACCTCCAGGGATGGCGACTCAACCAGTTCCCTGGGCAGCCTGTTCCAATGCTTGATGTTCTGAGCTGTGGGATTTTCCAGGCGTGTCACAGAATATTTCTGGTTCACTAATCCAACTCAGTGACTTCTCCAGGAGTTAACTCTTTGTCCTAGCAAAATCTGCAAGAATCAATTTTTATCTCCTGATGGGCATGTGAGATGCCTTTATTAGCTGAGAGGAACACATTCTCAACTAGTGTCGCACCTGTCTGTTTTAAACCAAGAATGAGAAGTCATTGGGAGTTTACCTTTCAGAACAGTCTGTTCAAGAAGCCCATAAAGGTCTTCTCATATCTGGTTTCATTCACGTCAGATTTGTTGGTTCCATCCTCAACAACAGAGAAAAAAATCTGTCACCAACAGATCAAGGGCTATTCTCAGTCTGTCTAGAGCAAACCCTTCTTTCCCTTCCTTTTTTACCTGACTGTGGTAAATATCTAGACTTTTGGGGCATACAGAGTTAGTGTGGGACTTCATTAGACAAGCAAAGAATGATGCCTGAGCACTAGCGGATCTAGTGAAAGCCACAGCAATGCTACAAATACATGTTGTCTTCCTTGCCATCAGCCTGGGCCCAGCCCATAGCTTTTTCATTCCCTAGGAACATGTGCTGGAGCCAGGGCACTGGTTGCCTCACCTCTCAGCACCAGTGGACCTGCCTGGCTTCTGCTTGTTTCTGGTGTACAAACAAGTCTTTGTGGGAGGAAAAAGAGAGCAGAGATGGCATCTTAAGTTACTTCTGTACCGCTGCCTAAAACAAGGGCAGAGACAGGCTGTCTGCTCCACATTACATAGCAAATGTCTCCACTGGATCCTGTGTGGTCCTGACATACAATCATCTTGTGTTCTTCCAGTTTCAAGTGTTTGCAGCAGTGTGGGGAGGGCTGTATTGTAGCTGTTTTCATAGCATGAAGCTGCAGGGATGCGTTGCATGGGCTGGGGTGTGTCGTGAAGGCCTGTGAAAGTGCTCGAGGGTACAAAGCTTGGTGGAGTAGTGCTGGAGGGCTTTGCCAAGGGAGGGAATCTGACCTGCTGCTATGTCCTCCATGCCAGCAGACAACTTGAGAAAGCCCTTAGGAAGTGCTATCCCTGAGCTTTGTATGATGGTTGTCTTGGCGTATGGCACTTGGCACAGGCAAGAACTTGTGTTTAATTAGAGCAGATGATCAGTGATCCATTCCTCAAGCTTGCTTATTTTGCAGCATAACCTTTGTGATGGCTGTAGTCATTTTCCTTATCCCAAGGGACACTGCGTTCCTCATGGTCCTCAGCTTCCTTACCCACTGTGGTGTTGGGGCTGATGTTAGGGTGCCCCAGCTACTCTGAGGGAACAGGAGGCAGATGTACATCACCTTAGTATTCTTCCCTCTGGTAGTCATCCTGTGATCAGATGCTTCTGGGTTGCACATCTTTTTCCTCTTACACCATGAAAAACATTTGTCTGATGTACCAAACAGCCCAACACTCCTTCTGCAATCTGCATTAAGCCACAGCAGCTCTCTTGGCAGCTCTCTGATGAGCCTTGTGTATCTTCAGCACCAGCTGACCCTGTCTTAGTTTCTACTGTGTATTGGGGAGTTGTTCTGGGGTCAGCTAACCAACATTTTTTGATGCCCTGTCATCCTTTTTCCTGGAGAATTCACAGGAGGTAGGATTGTGAGCATCTCTGCGTATTCTTGGTGAAGACTTCTGAACAAGAGGTTATATGTCAAGCTCCTGGACAATCTGAGAGAAATGTACTTGCTTCTTAATTTTGTTGTGAGTTTAGGTTTGCAAAATACAGTATTCAGTTTAGTTTGCTTGAATTGAGGCACTTGAACAAGTTATCCTGTCCTGGGTTCTTCCATACTGATTTCAGGTAGCGCTTCCTTTCAGTCTCCACTGATTCCAGATGTCCTAGAAGGGACTGTTAAATGCACACAGTCCGTATTGATGGCATCCCCTGTTCAGAAGAGACAATTTCCTGACTCCAGAGTTTTTGCAAAGACTTTCTGTCTGAAGATCCCTCTCTGCTTTGGCTCTCAGCCATTGAGTTTCTCTGCTCCTTCAGAGATATGGTGGTGTTGAAGCATTTTTATTTCAGTTCCAAAAAGGAATTTGCCAATTTATACTGTTTCTCGGAGGACCCCATTCCCAAGAAACGTCTATAGACCAAACCTTTTTGATAGCCCAAGTGGGCAGAATTTTTCCCTCACTATGGAGCCTCTTTAGCCTGCCGGAGATGTTGAGGTAGCAGGTATAAAGTGAGTTTGCTGGCACTGGGGAAAGGTGTTTCCGTGGTTGTATGGCAAGGAGATCTGCCCATGCCTTCACCATACGCTTCTTTGTTTCTGAAACCTTGAGGGCTGCTGCAGCGTTTTGTAGAGCATTTCTACCATTGCGCTGTACATAAAGGGCTTCTCCAAGTAATAGTGCAGTAGTAACAACTCAAAGATGCCCGTGATGTGAATATGTACACAAGTCATCACTTGAAACTGAGAAAGTTTTTTGGCAAGTTAGCAAAGTCTTTGAGACATGATCCAAATGTATGTTTGCCTCTCATCCTCATCAGTGTCCTTCAAGGCTTTTAAACCTCTGGGAGATGGAGCATGCCCTCTACCAATGCCGGAGCAGGAAAAGTCTGGCTGTAAGCATTGTTGTGATATGGGCACCTGTGAGTCGAACATCTCAACACTGCCAGCTAAAGAAGCTGTTTCAGCAACCACTTTGTTATACAGTCCTTTAAAAGAGCTGATCACCAGGGATGACATATCCCAGCTACTGAGTAAAATCTTCCTTGATTTAAATAAAAGCATCATATATTTCCAAACAGAGGGTGCAGAACTGGCTCTTTAACCTCTGTAGCCTACAGATTGGGGCAGTTTTTTCCTTTCATTTGCATTTTAGGAGAGAAAAGGATGATCCTCACTGGTCTCGTGTAGTGCCTTATGCTGTTTTCTTATTTGTCAGACTTCTCTCTTGTGCATTTCTGCTTGAAGTTAAGGTGCTTTCTTCCTAAAAATATAACTAGTATTTTCATCTTCACAACATCATTGTCTTCATCAACACAACTAGCATCTTCATTGCATTAGAGAGCGGCATTTATCCTTGTTCTGTACTAGTTGTTTAAAAGGTTATGCGGGGTTTTTTTTGGCATTGACCGTGATGGAGCAGTGCGGATACCTTGGCAATTTTAGTCGTATGGTTCTTTCCTAAGCTTGACTTGTGTTCTCAGCTTCAGCCTATCCCATAATTGTACAGAGTGAGAGGGGGTTTTTAATCTATCATTTAAAACTCAAGACTGAAAGAGCCCATTGAAATAGCAGAGTTGGACAAAAATCTTACAGAATCTTTACAGCACCACATGTCCCAGTTCCTTAATAATGCTCCTAAAACATGTTTCTGAAAAACCTGTATGTTTTCAGCCTCGTAAACTTACTGACATTTAAGGTTCTTTGATATATTTTTCTCTTTTCCACTTATTATAGCTGACTTTACTGAGATTGTGAAGGTGGGAGTGGGCATGACAAGCAGATTTAAAAGCAAAAGAAGTGCAGGTAACTCCATCCTGAGCCTCCTTTCCAGTGGAGGGTTTGGATGATTAAAGAAAGCGTAATTTGGTTGAGAAGGTGATGTGACAAATCAAAGGTAAAAAGCCTGTGAAAGGCTGTTGAATGCAGTAATGCAAATACAGCCTCCATTTCAGGATGTTTCTCAAAGCTGGAAGGTACACGAGAAGAATCTCAACATGCCCTAGAGCATGTCTGAGAGGTCACTGTCAGAGGCAGGATGCTGGGTTAGAGCTTTGTTCCAGTGCAGCACAGCAGTCCTGGTTTGTTTTTTCATTATTGTACTATCCTGTCACAGGCATCTAATATTGATGATGTCCTGAGCCACCACACAAGCTTCCTGGATAACTGCTTGAAGGATTGCATGCTAACCAATCCGGAGCTGCTGAAGATCTTCTCCAAGCTGATGTCTGTCTGTGTCATGTTCACAAACTGCATGCAGGTATGTACAACCTCCCTGTATTGACCATGCCACTGCCAGCTGCTTTGGATGCCAGCCAGCTATGACAGTCCCTTTTTTCAACTCAACCCCTCTTGTCCTCGATGCACGTGGACGAGCCTCCGTTCCTTCCGCCAGTAGGCTTTAGAGCTTGCCTGCTCAGACCCTCATCCTTTCTCCCAAATGGTTTCTGTGGCTTCTGTGGTTCGTTTTGA